TTGCTTGCTGCTCGTACAACACCTATTCATGGTAGGAGCAAATAAAACTGAGCTAAAACTAGTTTATTGATCTTGCTACAGTTGTTTACCACTAAGCAGAGGTTTCACTACTAATATATCTGAAAATATGCTGAAATAATCCACAAATAGAGTGTATTTTATTACTTCAGGCATTGTAAGCGCTCTGCAGAGGGGCTTGCTGGAGGTGCGGGGGGTCCTAGAAGAGTCAATGACCCATAGCGTTGCAGGAGATATTGTGTCTTTAGTAGAAAAGCTCACTCTAGTGCTGCTAGGTGTGCTGTATGGGGACCAGGACACTGAGGAGAAAGGTACGCTGAAACTGCAGATGTGATCCATTAAGTTATAATGAAACGATGTCTAATGAGATTTTCTTATAAGAATATACTTTTCTTTTTTGTCACAGATGTGCCTCCATCATTCTATGACATGGGGAATGCAATCAGTTCTCTGATTGGTCAGGGTGGGGTTGAGGGGGCGGGGCTTGATGAGGATGGAGAGGAGAATGTGCTGCTCTCTGAGGGACATAGTCTAGTGCTGACCTGTTGCTGGGTTTCCTTGAAGGTAAAGCTGCTAGAAGGATGACAGAACATCAGCCTACGTTTTAAGCTGTGGTTTACAAAAAGTATTGTGTATGACTAAGATACAATGGATGATTTACTTTCCTGGTAGGAAATTGGTATTTTTCTGGGCTCCCTGATGGAGAGGATCCTGTCACTCCACTGTAAAGAATTGACATTGAGTGTGACAGAACTCAGAGGGGCTTCCAAAGTGTTTAAAGACATCATTCTGAAATGTAGACACTGGGTAAGTCAGATTTGCTCTTTTCGCACTGATGTCCAAACACTTTTTTCCTCCAGTAACATCTTATCTGTTTGTGGTCCTTCCATTAGGGGGCAGTAGAGGGCGAGCAGCTCTGATCCAGAAATCAGTGAGATCCCACCCCTCATTTTACAACAGGTAGAATAGAGTGAAGGATTCATTCTCAATTAGGAATTCATGGGATTCTAATAGAAATTCCAAGTTAAATTATTGTGTTTAAGTAGCCATTAAATCATTTTTGTTTTATTTAGATTTATTTTATTTTATT